GCGGTGGTGTTTGAATTATGGTAGTCAATTAAGTAAAAGCTAAGTTTGAGAGGCACGTTATCTACGTCTTAATCTAAGTTATTGTTAAAATCTTGAAAGGAACAGAGCTAAGGATGAAGCCTTGGGGCATTCTGCTAGCAAACACTCTTCAAACCGATCTTGGTCTGTTAGTCAATATTCTTTTGGGTGCAGTCAGGCAACCAGTTCTAAAACCACTTAAATGTACTGTCGTCCCATCTATCTTTACTCCATCTTGTTCATGTTTGATCATGATGTGCACTTTCTTGTCTTTATAGTAACCACTGGCCAAGTTCAACAGTGCCTCTGCTGGAGAAACTTGCATACATATCCTCCAGTACTGTAGGGTTCCAATATCTTTTCTCTTCCTGTGATATACTCATGCTGCTCCCTTGGTTGGGTCTCCTGGGCCGGCTCCTCTGGCCAGCTCAACTCTGGTCATGCTTTCTGCATTTTTGCATTTCTACAAAACTTCATTACTGATAGGGAATGGGGCAGGAAGAGAGAGAAATTCACTCCGGGCTTCTCCCTCACCATCCCTATCCCCACTTTGTGAATTGATACTTTTTGAAAAAAGCCCCAATTAGCTTTAAAAAAAAAATCTCAGTTTTAACCCTTTTTACGTACTTCTAGTTATTGGGGTTGGGTTTTTGGGTTTTTTTTTTATTATTCATTCAAATCACAATGTTTTTTTCTTCTAGGAGTTGGTAGGGATAGCATATAAGAGCAGGATCCAACATTTTGGCTCAGGCTGTTCAATCTTTATTTCTCTCTAAGATCTTCTGACTTGCTGGACTTTGCCACCATGTCTTAGCTGCTGTCCCAACCTGGAATTTCCATCAGTATCCGGAGTCTCCTCACCCTGGAACATCCCTCTGCCCTGCCCACCTTCTTCTCTCATTGGTGAGTGCCTCCTTGTGCTTCTACTTTGGGGAGGGTCCGAGGGTGGCAAAACTTCATTCTCTTCCCAGCTCTGCTGTTGACTTTCCAGACTTCAAGGTGGGTACCCTTCTTAGCTTTTCCCAACCCCCACACAACTTTTTAACTCTCTTTTGTATGTCTTCCTCCATTAGAGTGTAAACTCTTTAAAAGCAAGGAGCAGCTAGGTGGTACAGTGCATAGAGTGCCAAGCCTGGAGTCAGTCAAATCTGGCTTCAGACATTTACTAGCTGTGTGTCCCTAGGCAAGACTCTTAACACTATTTGCCTCAGTTTCCTCATCTGTAAAATGAGCTGGAGAAGGAAATGGCAACCCACTCCAGTATGTTTGCCAAGAAAACCTCAAATGGGGTCACAAAGAGTCAAACATGATTGAAAAACGACTGAACAACAATACAACCCATCTTTTATTGTTTTGCTGATATTTGGTTATATTCATATTCTAAGTTATTGGAGTCTTTTGCTAAGGAAAGACCAACAACAGCAACAACTTTACGAAGTGCCTGGCATACAGTAAGTGCTTAATAAACGCTTGTTGCTTTGCCTGATCCTTCAGCTTCTCTCCATAATAAGTCAGCCAAGTATTTATTAAGTGTCTACTGAGCCCTGGGTTAAGCCCCGCAGATACAAAGAAAGTCTAAAAGAGTCCCTGCTCTCAAGGACCTCACCCAACGGTGCAGCCCTGGGCAAAGAGGGTGGTAATGTTTTGTGTGGACGCATATAAAGCAGCAAGCAGAGCTCTTCACGGCTGATAAAGTTAACAACCTTAAAAGAAAATAAAGTTGGAACCAGATGCCCTAGAGATAGATAGCAAAGGATGTAGAGCTGGAAGGGGTTGTAGACATGAGCTAGTCCAGGGATGGGGAACCTGCGGTCCTAGAGGCCTTTGACTGAACCCAAACTTGGAAAAGCAAATCCCCTTAAAAAAAGGATTTGTTCTGTAAAACTTGACTCAGTCAAAAGGCCTCACCTAAGGACCTAGAAGGCCCCACACGGGGCCTGGAGGCCACAGGTTCTCCACTCCTTTCACTTTGCAAAGAAGGAAAGCAACCCAGAGAAACTGAAGTCATAAGGTTGATCATGGATTTAGAGATAGTTGGAATCTTAGAAGCCTCCAAAGCTGGCTCCCTCATTTTACAGATGGTAAATAGCAGGGCCGAGACCTGAATCTGCATCGTCTGATTCCAAATCTAAGTCCCTTTCTACTATGCCACACAACTAAAGTACCATCATCATTGCATGTACTAATGATAGCTAAGCTATTTAGCACTTACCAAGTGTCAGGCACTGTGCTAAGCAGTTTACAATTATCTCATTTGATCCTCACAATAACCTTGGGAGGTAGATGCTATTATTATCCCCATTTTACAGTTGAAGAAACTGAGGCACAAGGAGTCTTGCCCAGGGTGACACAGCTAGGCTAAGTCTGAATTTGAACTCGGATTTTCCCGACTACAGGCCCAGGACTCTATCCACTAGGCCACCTCCCTGAGGTTAGATGTAGGATGACTAGGAAGTCATTTTTATGGGTCTACTGTTAATGAGCATCTTAGAAGTAGCTGTTGGATTAAATAAATTTCCACTTTGATTAATAAATTGAGACCAAAATTGAAATGTATAAATCATGCGGACGTTATTTCAAATCACTAAATTCTTAGTACCTTATATTCATTAAGCTTAATTTTCTTTCCAAAAATTAAGGATAAAATTAAAGCATTTTCCTCATATTTTTTCTTTGAAAAAAAAGTGGAGAAATGGATGTAAGCCCTGTGTTCTTGTAGGATTGTGAGAGATAATTTCTGACCATACTGAAACATCACTGCAACCATTCATTAAAAAGTATTTATTAATGCTTACTGTGTGCCAGGCACAATACTAGGTGTTGGGGACACATTCCATGACAACACTAGGATCGACTCAATTCTCAACTTTATGTCATCATTTCCTTAATACTAGAAAGATGTCATTTAAACAGTGAACACTTAAATTCTATTTCTGGCATAACCATTCAGTGTTTTTCCCCCCTTCAAAAATCCCAGGTGTTTTAATGAAATTGAAATGCATGCCCTGTAAGTCTGGAACTTCCACTACGGCCACCCCATGAAATGACATTCCAAAAAGTGAATGAAAACATGGACTGATTTAAGACCCTCTCAAGAATCCAAGCAATTTATGGGATTTTAGTTCATTAAGAAACAAAAGTGATCTAAGGAATATAGTTTATTTCCCATCCTTCAGAGTCTCTCTGATGCTTCTAATATTCCAAAAGCCTTTATCTAGACTCTGCCCAACACTGATATCAGATACTGAAGTTGATAAGAAATCAATATGGATGATGACAAAATTGAATTACAATATGATTTTTTTCATTCATGCATTTGTTATTCAATACACTGTTAACTTCTAAAGATTTGAGAAAAGAACACTTATTTATATTATTGTTGTTTATTCCAACTCTTCTTGACCCCTTTTGGTTTTCGTGGCAAAAATACTGGGAGTGGTTTGCCATTTCCTTCTCCAACTCATTTTACAGATGAGAAAACTGAGGCAAACAGAGTTAAGTGACTTGCCCAGGGTCACACAGCTAGTAAGAGTCTGAGGTCTGACTTGAACTCAGGAAAAGGAGTCTTCCTTGACTAGTCGTGTATGCTGCTGCTTCTACTGTTGTTTAGTCATTTCATTTGTGTCCAACTCTTCATGACCCCATGGGGGTTTCATGGCAAAGATACTAGAGTGGTTTGCCATTTCCTTCTCCAGCTCATTTTACAGATGAGGAAACTGAGGCAAACTGGATTATGTATCTAAAGCCAGAATTGAATTCAGGTCTTCCTGACTCTAGTGTATACAATTTTTAAAATCAAGAAAAGTTAATAATGTTCCTAATAGTGATGAGCAGATGCTGAGATGGCGATGACTTCAAATTGCTGTAGTCTGAAAAAAAATCATACTTACTTTCTTCAGAAATTCAAACATGGGTTCTCTGACTCCAAATACATCATGCTACCGTGGTCTTGTAATGATACTCCAGTTAATTGATAACATTTATTCTTTTTCATTTGTATTGATATCTTTTGTCTTTCTGCCTCTTCCTTTTCTGAATATTTCCCTTTTTCCTCTCCTACCCAGTGAACCATCCCTTGCAATAAAGGTTAAAAAAAGGGGGGGGGGCAGTGCATCAAAACCAACATATCAACCATGTCTGACAGTGTATTCAGTATTTCACACCCATAGCCCACCCCGCAACCCCACCACAAAGAGTAAGGAGGAGGAGAAGGCAAGTTACATTTTTCTTCACTTCTTTCCAGCTTGGTCATCATAATTAATAGCATGTTTCTAAATCAAGCGACTGCTCTTGATTTTTGCTGGACTTTTTTGCCTCTTATTTCTAAATTGAAAAAGCAAAAGCATCATCTGCAAAAAAGTCTGTAAATATGATGCTTCCTTGGCAGTTGCAGTAACAAAAATAAACATGTTGATTTTTTTTTAACCAACATTTATCACATGCTTTTATCTCAAACAGCATAATCTTGAATTTCTTGAAAAAACAAACAACAATACAAGGAACAAAGAAGCAATTTTTGCTGTTTAAAAAGTGCCAGATTAACAACTTAGCAAAATTATTTGTAGTATAAAAGTAAACAAGTGTTTCACGTAAAACACTTTGCCATCCCCAGAACACTCCACAAATGAAGGGAGGCAAATTCCCTGGAGAAGATTTTTAAAAGCTGATATTTGGTCACAGTGCCGCTAGACAAATCTTTTCATAAATTTATTCTCCTTTTTGATTTGAGATTAATATTTTGTTCTTAAGAAATTAATCTCAAAAGTTTTTCCCCCTAAAAAAAGGCAGAAATTGTAATAAACACACGCAAGCACTGCTCTATATGTACGCATTTTTGAGTAACAAGTTAATACAAGGTAAGTGTATAGTTGGGGAGAAGCACAGGACATAATCGCATTAAGATAAGCCAAGAAAGCACAGGTTTTTTTCTCCCTTGAAAATTATTTTTCCACTTGTCCAATTCATAAATATAGCTCACCTACCTTCACAGGTCCATGCTGATAATTAGATCCTTGCAGGAGATGCAGATAGGAGACCATGAAAATATTCACAATTGCCCACTGTGTGTACATTCTGATTTTTTTTTAAATGTCCACAGATTATTAAGAAGCTGGTGTCTCACAGCCAGAGGAATCTGTTTCAAAATTCATTTCTCTTGCAGAAAGAAAGTTTTCAAAATGTTTTCTCTAGACTCTCCAATTTTCCAATTGAAAAAGCAAACACGCATTGGCAAGCAAATTCAATGTAACTGACACGACTACTCAAAGTATTTGATGAAGTGATCTTGTAGGGGAGGAATTAGGAGAGGAAAAAAAATTTTATGTTCTTAAACTCTCAAAATTAACTGTGAAGTTCCTGAAGTAAAAAAAAAAAAATTCTTCCCACCTGAAAATGCAAAGTCCCCCCCAATCCATTTTATGTCCAAAAGATTTCAAAATCAGGCATGTGTCGTTCTCCACAATATAGCTCCTTCTAAAGAATGTATTCCAACAGCCAATATTTTGAGTTGCCGAATGCAGCAATCCAACTTGGTATTAAAACTTTTTTCACAGCCTTCATGGAAGCCTGCAGAAGAAGCATGTGTCTTCAATCTGATATAGACTTTGGCAGAAAATGCAGTGAAGTCTTGGCTGTAATCCTATTATGCTCCTACCAATAGCGTGGCAGTTTTCAAACTCACTGAAACACTCTGGATGACTCTTATTTTAAAGTAGATAACCTGTAACATGAAACTTCAGTCTAGGCTTGGATGAGTTCCGTAGCAGAATAGCTAACATTGCTCCAGAAAGTACCCAGGACACCCGTTTACAGCCTGGGACACAGGATTTACTTAATAGGTCCTCAAAAGAAAGAAACTGAATCTGGTTGTCCTATGTCATTTACCCCCTCGTCCTGCCCTCTCTTCTTCCCTCCCTCCAACAGAAGTCTAGGGTTCTTAGGTCAAAATAAGACACTTTCCTTTTTATTTTTTTAAATAGAAGCAACATTTATTTGTATATATCAGAAATCTCTTTCCACATGTTTCTATATAATAAAACTAAATACATTTATCATACTTCAATGTGTAATCTTAAAAAAAAGTATTGGTACATATTTGGGTTTTTTAACGTTCATCCAACGTTAAATACAAATGGAAACAATCTGGTAATTAGCTAGACCTAGTTTTGTTATTTTTTCACTAGTTTCCTATCTTGGATTTCCAAGTTCTGGCTCTTTCAAATCCATTCTTGCCACTTCTGAAATCAATGATAGCTTGAGAAATCTCTGCTTCTGTATTCATCACAAATGGACCTATAACAAAATTATGTCAGGCAGTCATACAAGAACAATAGAAAACATCACCTTTCACTCACAATGAGCAGAGATTCTGTAATTTTTGTGTAACAGAAAAGTGGGGGAAGAGTGGGGGCAGCCCTTAGCTCCTATTGTGTGCATTAAAAGCTCCTCAAGCCAAGAGATAGGGCACAATAATATCAATAATAATAATGGACATTTAAATAGTATTTTACATACATTAATAATAGATTAATAGAATAGAATAATAATGGCATAATAGAAGAACAGATTAATAATAACTTACACACAATAATGATAACACATATATTTAAGGTTTATAGATTTTTAAGATGTTTTAGGTTTGCAAATCACTTTACATGTTATCTTATTTAATTTTGACAAAAACCCTGTGACACTGGTGCTGTTTGTTAGAGTATCTGAGGCTGGATTTGAACTCAAGTCTTCCAGACTCACATCCGGCTCAATTTGAGCCTTACACCAATCCTGTGAGATTGATACTGCAAGTAGAATGGAAAGGAATATGCATATATTAAGCACCTACTATGTGCCAGGCATTGTTCTTAGTGCTTTGCAAATATTGTCCTCATTTTACAGCTGAGGAAACAGGCTCAGAGATGTTAAATGACTTGCCCATGGTCACATAGTTAGGTTTCAGATTTTCCCAACTCCAAGTCCAGCACTCCATCCATTCGTTATCCATAATGCCAACCAACCAATGCCAACTTCTAATTAACTAAGTTCTAATTAACTTGTGCAAACTAGCAGTATTTCACTGATAATAAATACTTCTGGGCTAATCCTAAAAAAAATAAATAAATAAAATTCCACTGGATTTCTAATTCATGTCAGAAATCAAGCTTATCTGAACCTGCAGAAAGAAGTCTTTCATAGCTCTTCTCAGAAAATGGGATATTTGTCTCCTTCTCTCCCTCACCCCAATTCATTTAGTAATGAAGCGCTACTCTGAGAGAGGCAGCTAGGTGGCGCAGTGGATGGAGCTCCAGGCTTGGAGTCTGGATAATTCACCTTGAGCTCAAATCTAGTCTCAGACACTTACTAACTAAATGACCGTGGGCAAGTCATTTAACCTCGTTTGCCTTAGTTTCCTCATCTGTAAAATGAGCTGGAGAAGGACCACTCTAGTAATTTTGCCAAGAAAACCCAAATGAGGTCATGGAGGATAGAACATGACTGGAAGGACAACAACAGCTCCCAGTTTGTGACTATCTTCATCCCTGTAAAGTTAAGTGAAGGATTGGGACAGCTGCAAGCATAGCTCTTAAAAGAGAATAATCCTTTGCTTCACTTATCTGGAAGTTTCAAACAAAATATCTAATTTATCTGATTGTCTCAATACTCAATACTTTATGTGTGCTGGCATACCCAGAGTTATCATTTTGCAGCAAAGATTTTTAATCTGAGGTCTGTGAACTTTGTTTAAAATTTTTTGAACATAGTTGTATTTCAATGTAATTCACTTCCTTTGTAATCCTTTGTATTTTCTTTTATATATTTAAAAACATTATTCTGAGAATGGGTGCATAGGCTTCATAAGACTGCTGAAAGGGTAAGTAAAAAAAAAATACTTTCTCCATCTCCTCTAGGCCAAAAGAATGTGTCACAGGAGTGAGCTCATGAGTGTTGGGGCTACTTGTCACTTAATACAGTCATTTTTTCATGACTGGAACAGATGTGATTGACCTACTTGAGAATACTTGAGAAGTTTAATCCCAAATACCCCTCCCCCCACTCCTTTTTGGTTCTCTCTCTAATACTATCCTATCTCTTACTAATGATACTTCTACAACCCTGAAACCATTCCACATAACAACAGCTGTACTACCACTATCAGAGAAAATATATGATGATAAAAAGCTAAAAAAAATGAAAAAATGAATTTAATGTTTGCACATGTATTTCTATTTTAGTAATCATAATAAAACTTTATCCAAAACTTTATCATTTTATGAAACCGATTCAGTGTATGTTATTCAAAACTAAGTAGTCCTTGCCTCTACAGGGCAAATGGACAAAATGTTACAAAATAAAAAGTATAGTTAAATGCTCTCCCTCAAGTTAGTTATGGAGTCAGAGGAAGAGGAAATGATTCTGACTTGGAAATTTTTAGGAAACTTACAACAGCTATTTTTCACTGGGAAGTATAATACTCTACAAGGATATTACTAAAATCTCTTTTTAAATTTTGAGTTACAAAGAGAAGGAAATGGTGTTTAAATACATGCTAGCTTGTAAGCTCCTCATAGGAAACATGTCTTCTTTATATTACATCACAATGCCCTAAACATAGTAGATAACCAATAAATACTTGCTGAGTGAATAATGAATGAACAGCAGGAGTCAACACTGTAATCTTTCCTTTCTATGTTAAGAAGCAGAACAAGGTCCTCAGAACTCTAGAGGGGATAGGATGTAATCCTGTCATTCTCTGCAGTAATAACATACATTCACTATTGTCAAAAGGAAAAAAGGAAAGAAGAAAACCAATCAAGAAAAGCACTATCATTGTTGGCTTACCATGTTGCACAATCGGTTCCTTAATTGGTTCCCCGGCTATTAAGAAGAAGTGGCTTCTTTCAGGTTCCTAATTCAATAACAGCAGGATTAAATTATAATCAGGCTTATGTCTGGAACTTTTTGGCTACCAAATAGGGAACGACTAAAATGTGTAATGCTTTGATAAAAATGTGTTCAAAGTTAGGATTTAAATATCAGAAATATTCTGAAGTATTTTCTTTCCAACACTGGTGGTGGAAAAAAGTCAATCCCTTACATTATATAGTGGGAAGCAAACTCTGAGGACTAAGCCAGAGCAAAATGTTAGTACTTCCAAATTACACAGATAGAAAGAAAATGGAAATTAAGTTAATCTTAGTCAGGAACTCTGTATGAAAACATTTGAAAAATAATCTTACACTACCATCATCATTTTTTAAAAGGCTAATCATTTTTGAAGACTTAGTATTGACCACTGCTTGTTACAATGGTCCAAATGGAAGGGAATTAATTAAAGTTAAATGAAAATAGGTTACCTTGCATAGCCGGGGTTCAGACAAATTACCTTACATTTTTTATACTATAATTCAAAATGAGCTCTATTTGTTATGTGTCTCCAAAAACACTGTATAGTTTACAAGCGTGGAATTTATTACTTAGAAAAGAGCATTTCTTGTTCATCAATCATCAGATCCTCTTTTAGTTATCTGAAAACTATTTATAAAAATATTTTCCTTACTGGGAATATGGAAGTTATAGTATTTATCTAGACCTAGACAGATAAGCTTATAAATTACGTATTTTCTAAAAAATAAAATGTTATTGTTAGCTTTTGTAACTACAAATGTTGCCTAAATTTCTCTCTATATCCCTCCCCTCCATCCTTCCTGAGAGCCATCCCATATATCAAAGATTTCTTTAAAAAAAAAAGTGAAAAATCAGCAAACCAATCAATAATACATTGAAAAAGAATGAAAACATATGCAATGTTGTACACTTACGAACCTACCCTTTTCCCAAAGGAGTGAGTGGAGATGTTTTCTTACATCTTTCCTTTGGAAGGGCCATGATTTTTTTTTATAATTTAGCAATAAGCTTTTAAATTAATGCAGTTAATAAGAAATATTTTACTGAGTAACTTCTATTTCCCTTCAATGAATGCCTACGTCCATAGTTCAAACTAATGAAGAAAACAAATTGCAAGGAGATCAGGCAACAGAATGAATTTAGAAATCTTTTTGGTTATTCTTCATTCATATGTTTATTTGTTTATATGTTTCTATTTATATTTATATGTTTACATTTTTATATTGATATTTATATTGTTACATTTTATATATTTTATATATTTACATTTATATATTACATTTACATGTTTCTATAATTTAGTTCAAATAAAATAATTCCAGAGTTTTCATGAATAAAATCAATAAAAGTAACTATATAATGTTCATTTTTGCCATGCAATCCACTCTCCACATAGCTGCCAAATTAAATTTTCTTTAGTATAGGTTTAACCATGGCACTATCTAACTCAATAAACTCTAGTGGCTGATTCTCAGATCAAATGTTATTTCATCTTTATCTCATCCTTTTATAACTTTTATTTTTGTGTGAATATTTTGATGTATATAATCAGTAGCACAGCAAAACGTGTACATAATTTGTTAATAAATAAAGGTGCTAATGGGGTTCACAATCAAAAGAACTTGAAGACCACTGTTCTAACCCATGCATTTTGTAGTAATTGGTAAAAAGTTTACAAATATAATCTTCGACTCCTTTTGACATTTTCTCAATTTACATGATTTCTTTTTTTCTTCCCCATTTTCATTTCAAACAGGAGAATATAACAAAAAATGTTTAATTTGAGAAATGACTGGACTGTCTGGAGATTTGTGTTTGGTTTGCCATCCTCTTGCAAATTTAGCAAATTGCCTAGGTTTCATGTCTTCACAATCTTAACTTTAAACTATCTATCACTTCATGTAACGAAATTAGATTTTCCCTTAAATTCAACAAACAGCAAGGAATTGAGCTAGGTCCTAGGTGTTGGACCTCTAAAGACAAAAACAAAACAGTGGCCATGGGGAGAAGTTCATATTTTACTAGGCTACGGCTTTTGTTGTTACTGTTGTTTTCTTTCCTTTCTCCTTAAACCCATCATTCTATTCTCTAACTAGTCTTCTCTGGTAAAAAGTTTAAAATGGGATCTTAGCTTTTTGATCAGCTAGCTCAAAGTTTAAAATTCTACCATCTGGGAACTGAGACTACTTAATCAAACAGTGAAAATGAGTAGGTAGATGGTGTAAAATTGGTTTTAGTCATAAATATTTATCTGGAATTAAACAAACACTTATTTTGTATTTACTGAAAAGGCTATGAAAGCAAGAAGACAAGTTTCATTTATTGTTTCATATACTGATCAGTGTATGCCTCATCCCTCTCCCCCAGCTGCTTTATGGGCTTCCTGCAGGTAGGATCGTTTCTTAGACATTTTTCATGTCTCCCAAAGTACCCAGACATAGTGCCAAGTATCTCCTACAGCTGATTGATTAATTCCAAATAATTTAAGATCTTTCTGTTCCACAAGCCCTAAACAGAGTGTCTTGAGTATCTGAGACCACCACAATACGGAGTTTTAAAACAGGATGGAGGCAAAACAATTCATTTTATAGGCCCTTTTGGCAATACAATTTTGAGTGAGGCTTGGGTGCTTTTTTTCAATTGTTGTGGTTGTTGAGTCATTTTAGTTGTGTTCTACTCTCCATGAACCCATTTGGGGGTTTCTTGGCAGACACCAGAGTGGCCTGCCATTTCCTTATCCAGCTCATTTTACAGATGTGGAAACTGAGGCAAACAGGGTTAAGTGACTTGGCCAGGGTCACACAACTAGTGTCTGAGGCTGGATTTGAACTCAGGTTTTTCTGAGTCCAGGACCAGCGTTCTATCTACTAAGTCATCTAGCTGTCCCTTTTTTTTTTTGTCAGTGGGTCTCTATATATGCCTCTGAGCCACTGATTTTGTTTCCAGAATACCTATTACAATAATAAATTAATTTTTTAAAATTTCAAATGGACACAAACAAGTTTTGAATGATGCTATTGTAATTTGCTCTTACTGACCTTTAAAGTTTTTAATGCTTAGTTCAATAAAAGGCTAAAACAAATCACACAATTATGAGGGAAATTAATGGTTTGTCATCTTGCACACATACAAGACAATATTAAATGAATGATGATAAAACATTCATATCAGGCTTTAATAGAGTTCTGTTTCTCAGATTTATAATTCATACTGTGTTCTCACATGGCATTTAGACAATATTCATCTTTAATGTAACTGTTTTGTTTTGGAACATACCAACCAAAGGGTACCATAAATCATTGATTTCATGCAGAACTCAGCTAATGAGAAAACTGTTGTCTGTCTTCTAAAAGGTGCACATTTGCTAAATGAGTGAATTTGTTAATAACAATCATTTATAAATTCACTGAATCAGTTTCTATGAAGATTACAGATGGAGTAATGAGGATAATGGCTTTCACATCATGCTATAGTAGACAGAGTGATAAACTTGTCAGAAAGACCCAGATTTTGGATCCTACTTCAGACACTTAGTTGTGTGGCCCTGGGCAAGCCACTTAACCTCTCTTGGTCTCAGTTTCTTCATCTGTAAAATGAGAAGACTGGATTCAATGAATTCTAAAGACCCTTTCAGTCCTAAATCTAGATGCTATCATCCTATGAACGCTTTGAATGGCAGTCATGGCCATGGGCATTTTTCATGGTTAAAGGGATACTTACTTAGTACTGGGAAGTTACAATGTTCTCAGACAATAGATGTTAACCTAGGAATGAAAGTCTGGACAAATCCAGCGTTTATCCGACTCATAAAGACCAGAGCCAGGTCAGTTCTCAGATTATCATTGGGATTTGGGCCTACTCCACAAAAATTCTAACTGCAGTAAATGGTTATTTTAAACCTTATGGTTGTTTGGTTGTTTTCAGTTGTGTCCAATTCTTCGACCCTATCTAGGGTTTTCTTGACAAAGACACTGGAGTGCCATTTCCTTCTCCAGTTTACTTTACAGATGAGGAAACTCAAGGAAACAAAGTTAAGTGACTTGCCCAGGGTCACACAGCTGGTGAGTGTCTAAGGTCACATTTGAACTCAGGTCTCACCGACTCCAGGTGCAGCACTCTATCTACTGCACCATTTAGCTGCCCCTAACATCCTACAGAAGCAGAAGTAATTGATGACTTCAGAGCAATAATAGTATGATTAATTTAAGACTAAACTGCCCTTTATGGACTATCTAAGTCCAGATTCAGGGCCCTAAGACTTCAAGAGCTAGCTCAGTCTCCAGAATTGCAATAATGAACCCTCTTTGATCTGGCATCAAATGGTTTGAGTTGTAAGAGAAGTTTTTGTGATGATGTATTATCCAAAAGGGATGAGGCAAACTAGTCCAGATTTTGATAACTTTTTAAGGGAAAAGAGCCATTCTGGATAATAGTCTTAGAACATAATGTCTTGCTAAATTATAAGTATATTCATTTGTAAGCTCATCAACAGAGCAGCTGGGTGGAGCTGTGGATAGAGCACTAGGCCTGGAGTCAGGAAGACTCATCTTCATGGGTTCAAATCTGGTCTCAGACACTTACAAGGTGTGTGACCCTGAGCAAGTCACTTTACCCTGTTTGCCTCAATTTCCTCATCTGCAAAATGAGCTGGAGAAGGAAATGGCAAACCACCCCAGTATCTTTGCCAAGAAAACCCCAAATGGGGACACAAGGAGTTGGATACCACTGAAAACAACTGAACAGCAACAACACAGTATTTCTCCACTTACAAAGGGGGTGATTCCTGAAAAAAGAAGTTTCTAGGCTCTTTTGGTCTCCATGCTGTGGTAATTAATTTGTCAGTTAAATAAGAAATGGTGAAGTGATGAGACAATGACCATTCTTTTATCCATTTCCCATTTTTTAGTGTTAACAACTTGTTTAAGAAGGTCATTTTAGGGGGCAGCTAGGTGGTGCAGTGGATAGAGCACTGGCTCTG